TCAAGATTTTTAGATGAAAAAAACCCGAACAACTTATAAATGAAAACAAAACATTTATTAAATGAAATAGTCTCCATGAAAAAACATGTCGATGTTCTCTTTAATATCTTCTACATTTGCATACATTTTTTCATTAAGATGGTGTTGCAGTGAACGAAAAAGATAGTAATGTGATGGTGCCATATTTGGAGAATATGGTGAGTGGGGGAGAACTTCCCAACTCAACTCCATAATCTTGTGTTGAGTCAAACATGCCATATGTGGATGTGCATTGTCATGGAGAAGAAAAACACCTTTCTGTTTGATGAGTGAAGAGCATCTCTGATGTTGGGCTTGATTTAAACATTCCAGTTGCTGACTATAGATCCCTGCATTGACAGTTCACTGTGGATTGAGGAGTTCGAAATGAATTACTCCTTTGATGTCTCACCAAATGCAAAGCATCACTTTCTGCTGATGGAGTCCAGGTTTTGGGGTTGGAAGTGGTTTTTGTCCAGGACTGAGCTGTTGTTTTTGGTGTTTAACCCTATCACCCCAAGTATCCTTTACACATGGTTTTAGTGTCTTACATTCAAAATTTTATTAAACTACTTTTTGCTTACATCATACCAATTTGAATAGCATAAAATCTTAGCTAATAATCCATATTTTAATAGCATACAAGTTTTAAGATCTTAATTCTACAAGGAAATATTTTTGAAAATCCTGAACTTCCACTAGTGTGACCCATGTGACACATTTTGTCTTAGCATATCATCATCCCTATTTTATCCATTACCCATCAAAAATATATGAAATTTAATGTAAAATACTCTCTATACATTCGTTATTCCTCAAACAAACCATAATTTTTATAGCCTTCAATTTTGTTCGGTTACAGAGCTATAGAATAGAAAATCAGACACCTCATGTCACACCCTCTCTTTCACAATTCATTGATAGTTCTCTCTTACGTTTCATTATATGTTACCTATAACAAATAGAAAGTCAAGGTTTTCATCTATCAAATGACCTATTGTATGACGTTGCATTCTGAACAGAATATTGTCAATTTCACTCACAGTACAAGATTCGTTCCCATGGGAAAGTTAATGACTAGCTTGGATAAATTTGTAACGGCTCTTGTCGCATAGTTAGAAAGCAAGGAAAAATTTTGAGAAGTAAGGGAATTTGTCTACTTTTTGCATGTTATTAGTCTATATTCTTTGTTGCATTATTTACTTAACCCGATGACTACCGGCTACTAACTTTCTTAGTAGGCAATGCAAGTCTTGCTATATTTCATTCCAACAATAAAACTAGTGGACGTATATTTTCGAAAATTCATAAATACTTTGACAAATGTAGTTAGTTTAAGAAACATAAAGCCTATTACTTTTAATGAATTTAGTTTTC